ATGGAAGAAGCTTGGACAGCTTCTCACAGAGCCACCCCTGTAGACCTCATGCTACCAAAACCTGGCCGTGCAAGCCCAATAGACATGTACAGCAATTCATGTTGCTTGGAGAAAGTTGTTCTTAAGTGTGATAGAGACTACCTATTTTACAAGAGTTTGTATTTTTATTTCATCTCCTCTGCAACAGGACATTATCTACAGTGTTTGTTCCCTGTTGACATCCAAAGATATGCAGATTGCGGAGACCTTTGGATTTCTCAAGGTCAAATCAAACTGAAGGGAATCATTCCTCATCCAGCTTAACTGAGCCAAGTTGCTTGCTTTGGCACTGCTGCAGCATCCTAAAAAAGCAGATTTTTCTTGCTTGTGGGCAGGTGGTTAGAATACCATATAGAGCTCATTTTTGACTGTCAAGATTGAAATTATTTCTCAGCCAAGGACAGCTATAAGTACATCTGTTAGCTATTAAATTGTGGAGAAAAAAAAAAAAAACTTTGCAAAGGTTCAAAATGTACCTCATATGTAAGAAAAAAGTAAATCAGAATTTCAGACCAACTTCTGTAAAAATGTCTAAAAAGATAAATGCAATTCCATTATGCTCTGAACAAGAAAACTGCAGCTCTGGTAGACCCTGTTCTTTAGCCAGTGAGACTTCAACTACAGTTTGAGCAGCAGCAGCACAGGTCATTATTACTTATGTGTCGAAGACTTCCGTAAAACCTGAAATTATTCTTTTGCTCACACCAGTATGGTTTTTGACATATGTTTGTGTTCTATATATCAAAATCTGGGTAGTTTGATGTCTTTGCCTGTAATATTGCTAAAGCAAACCATTTAAATGGGAAGAATAAGAGGTGTGAAATATTTTTTATTTTTTATTCTAAGATAATAAATTTAAGAAAGTGAAAGACTACTCTTCATTAGTAGAAGCTTTATGAAGTTCAAGAGATTGTTCAGTAATTATAACTCATCCTAATGAACTAGATATGAAATTAACAAATACTAAGCTAATTATTACTTACAGCAATTTCTCTCTTAAGAATTCATCCAGATATCTTCTAAATTTAATTAAAAACTTCATGTGTGAGAGCTAACAGAGGTCATGGTTACAGTCAGTCAGAGAAATGAGTCTAAGGATGTTCAACTAAGAAAGAAAAAGAAGTTTGTAATGCTTTCAAAATATGTTATTGCGTGCAAATCCTTTGTAGCGAAGATCTCTCACAAGGAATTTATGTAAAATTCCTGATGAGCTATTAGTGCTTTTAAATTGGTATTTGCTTTTAGTTTTGCAGCCATTGTTGAAGAGTGCTAGAAGCATTCTAAAGTATTTTTTCACTTTGAATTGTATTTATTTTTCACTGAACTATTGATCATTACACTTACAACCGTTATTCATTTACACAGATCTAAACCTTCAGATGTGATAGCAGTCTGCAGGGCTCTCCTAAGAAAAAGGGTGGAGTCAGCAGTTCTCAAAAATGCTTGTGTTAGTAAATTGGCCTTGTATGATTGCACAAAGTGATGGACAATAGTTTTATTTTAGAATGCCCAGCTAAAATGTTTAACTAGTGAAACAAATAAATGGTAGTTTGTGCATTTAGACCAGGAGCCATATTGCCGCTGCAACACACATGTGTGGTCTTTTCCTTGCAATTTTGGTCAGAGATTAAAATTTCTGCAGGATTCACGGAAGAGAGGGACAATGACTAATTCTGACTATGAATCAATTTGGATTATCTTCTTAGGAAAGAAAATCAAGTTTGTGGTTTTTTTATTTTAAAAATACTAACATAGTCTCTGCAAGAGTAGTTAAAAATAACCTACCATAATGAACCAAACATGACTTTCTAAAGCCTGTAGCCTGGTTTGTTTGCAGCAATACTTTATGGCTCTATTCTGGAGTAACTCAAAAATGAAATTATTATAAAAATTAAAACCAATATCAAGAAACAGATTGTCCAGCTCACTGTAACATGAGCCTTTGCTGTAGTTTGTTATCAATGCATGCAGTAAAAATCTCGAATAGAAGTTTGTTTTAAAATTCCAGAGTGTTCCACAGGACAGTGTTTGCAATAGGATTTCTAGAAAGAATACAGAGTGCCCAGATAACTGCCCTATGCAAATACTGCAGTAAGATTTTGAAGCAATTGCTCTAGGAAAATAGATTTTCTTGCCTTTCTTCTGTTCACAGGTATGAGGGCCCTTATTTTTTACAATATATCTTCTTTATTTTTTTAGCCTAAACATGGGCAAAATTTGATGATTTATATAACCAATACATGAAATGGCAGTATGTTTTACATTTAACTGCTGAGTTTAAGGGATTTACTCATGAAGTATCACTCCTATCTACTAAAGTAAACAATTACAACTGCTGCTTTTGTTTCTTTTCCGTTTCTTTTTTTCTCCCCCATTCCCTTAATATGTTTATTAACATTGTAAATTTTAATTCTATTTCCTCTAAGTAAAAACTACTTGCATACAATAATCCGCTTTTTCAGTATGAGAATTTGTATATAATTCCTCTTTAATCACTACAAGAGACTTTATTTTTGCACAATTGTAGAAAAATATTCTGGTTTATGACACTTATCTCAAGAGAAGAAAAGAAAGATGTATTTACCATGTTGTAGAAATAATAAAAAGAACCAATTATAGTTAATGCACACTGCAATCTTTCTCTTTTTGCCTTAGGCCTTAAAGAACACACCATACACCTGTGTTAAACCCTTTGATTTTCACAGGATCTCTTTTGCAAGAGACCTATCCAAGCAGATAATTTTTTTCCTCCAATTTTATTTCTAAGTACTTTTTACAAAACTTTTTTTCCTTCCTCTTGGTGATTTCCCAATCATAATAAAGGAGGAGATTATTTAGGGATAAGAGATTGTGTTAGGTCTGAAATTGAGTCACTGACTGGCCTTTGCCATATTATTTTCCTGACATTTGTGAGGTAAACATGCCAGTAGAATTAACTTTCAAATCCTTTCCCCTTCTGAGTGAAATTTAGTCTTGTGCATGAAGTGTGTAAGGGTACAAAACTTTATCACAATATACTCTTGAGCATTCAGGAGGACGAATGGAAGAGAAAATTAAATATCTTTTTAGCTATTGTTTGCCTTTATCACTGATGGAAGAGACCCATTTAATAATTTTCAGAAGTGTTTAATCAAACAGCTGAATTAATGAACAACTCTCAACCTATACTTTAAGCTTTGTAAAAGAAACAATCAATGAGATGAAGTATTATGAAATCTGAAAATGGAAATAATGTTATTGTCCAAACTGCATGCCATATCTCTTAAAAAAAAAAAAGGATTTGCATAGTAATAAATGGCTTTTTTTTTAGCATAATTGAATTATTATAATGTACTCATTGTATTTAGGAAATCATATATTTACCAGCTAGGACAGTTTTGCATTTTTGTTTTGAATGGTTTAGGAATTCAGTCTTGAATAATGTGTAATATGGAACTGTTCTACAAAAAAAATCAAGCTCAGTCTTTTTCTTTTCTGCAAATAGGCTATTATTTTTTCAGCTTTCAATGAAAGTACATGTAGAATTCCATTAGAACATAGTACTGGAATGCTCATCCTTTTAGCTGCCAAAAAATAGCCATTTGAAAAAGGATTAGTCAGATTGTGTGACTTACAAATAAAGTAATTATTATTTTTATTTGATTAATATAGTCAAAGTTAATAAAATGCACTTTTGAAGATTCCTTATTCATCTAATATTCCATGACCTCTAGGTTATTGATTAGCTCATCCTTTTAATATACTCACCCTCCCCCCCAGCCAAAACAAGCCTTCCCAAACCAAATATTTTTCATTTTGACTTGTGAATATCCCTGATTAGTGCTGTTGCACAGTTCAGCTCAATCTCCTGGTGAAGATGCTTTTCTGTCTCCAGTTGAATTTTTTTTCGTTTTAGAGTAGCTCCTTCTGCCTTCTGCTCCGAGGGCATATCTTCCAGACAGTGAAAAGCAATGAGCAGCTGGAGGCAACAAACTAGATCAAAAGTCTGTTTCTGTAGATGGACAGATTTGTTTATTCAAAACTAAATAAGAGGTATCACTATTCATAGTCCCATCTGTAAATACTTTATCCTGGTAATAATTCAGTGTGCATGACAATTGCTGTCTGTGGTTAAAGCACAACAACATCACTGCATGAATGATTGCAGAATAACAGGTCCCATCTGAAAGAAAGCAGAAGTGTGTGGTAGAAGGCAGACTGGCATTGTTAAAATGACAGCTACTTGGGGAACTAAATACAGGAATTTTGCATCCTCTGCACCTCAGCTTTAGTACTAAACTGTAGTTTGTCATTTTGTAATACGGGGACATGCTGCAGCAGTATGATTTTCTGTAGAGGATGGCATCAAGGTCATTTTTCTTCATCACTTGGTCTTCTCTTAAAGATTTTTTCTAAGTTTATCCTGTTTAGCTTGTGGCAGCTGAACAAATCCTACCCCCAGGACAGAATAATTGCAGGAATCTGAGGCCAGTTCAGTTACTACAGTATATTTTTGATGAAGAAAAACAGTCTTAAACTTTTTCATTACGTGACTGCAAGATATGAATGTTAACTGGTATTTACCTGAGATAAAATCTGATGGTTCAAAATTTTGTTACTACAGAAGTGAACTTAATAACCTGTGATTTATATTTAACTGAAAAGTCTCTTCCTTTCTTTTGTTGTGATTTCTGACAAAACAATGTAGTAAACACTTGATAATGCAACCAACTCATACAAAAATTTTTATATATTTTGACTTGAATAACACTCCTGAAGTCCAAAGGAATTCAGTGCAGGCAGTTTAAACTAATGGTGAGTTGTGTGCAAGGTCAACTTCCATACTCAGAAATATGTGAATTTTTCCTAACAAAACATTGTTGGGTTTGGGAGGTTTTGTTTATGTTTTGGTTTTTGGGTTTTTGGGGAGTTGTTTGTTTTTAAAATCTTTTAAACTTACCATTTTTTCCATTTCTGCTTAGAACCATTGGATACAAAAAGAAGTATGTGAAAGTTCCACACGGTCATATTTGGGTGGAAGGAGATCACCATGGGCACAGCTTTGACAGCAACGCTTTTGGTCCTGTAAGTAAATTCTCTGTATGTCACACTTTGCAACTGAAAAACTGTGCATATGTGAAACACAGCGAGTATGAACTGATTGTGAGTGTAGTTTTGTTATTTTTGTGACAATTATTAAACTTTATAAAATATTTTGGTCAGCAGATATTGAGTTTTTTCTTAGTTATTATAAAAAGAATAAGGATTTCTTTCAATTCCCCACATGGAAGGGGATGTGGTAGAGATTTTCAATTTGGAGGAATATGCTGGAGTTGTAGCCAGAGGGTGAGCCAGCTCCCTGTAGCTGACAGATGCTCCCTGAGGACATTTTGCCAGCTGATACAATTTGGAATGATTCCCTCCTGGGAACTTTGTCCTGCTTTAGTGCCAGTGCTGGGATAAAGAACTGGGGAACTGTAACCATGTTTAACAAGCGTGAAGTGGTAAATTGGTCAGTGGACAATAGTAGAGATATTTAAAACTTTTCCCAAAGTAAATATTAAAATTTTTGCATATTGAAGGAAAAGAAAATGTAATCCATAAAATCTCTTTCTTTATGGGTAAAAGGGTGCATCTTTTTGTCAGGAGGACAGTCAATTCTTTCTCTGAACTCTAGTTCGGGTTTGGTTTTGGCTTTGTTACGCTTTGTATAGATTCTTGTTCTTGTTTTAACTTAATCTAGCATGCAGGAAATAGTTGCATAAACTGTGTATCCTGCTGTGGAAATACAAACTCTTTTAGCCCTATTCCACATGCAGGATTTTTCTCTCTTTTTAAGCGAGAATATTCCTCTAATGTTATTTAAAAGCCCACTGTTTGTTATAGGGAAGCTGTCAAGACTGAATTTTTCCACCCTTATGCATTTCACGTCTATTTCATACAGAAGTCATCCCACTAACTAATTGAATTAATGACAAGAAGGACCTTATGAGTTTATCTGGCTTCTTGAAGTTTAGCCCAATTATTAAATTGAAATAATTTGTTCTCAAGAAATAATACAAAATAGGCCCACTGTCTGATTTGGAGCATGTAATGGTGATGCCTTCTTTTAGTTTGTCTCACTTTTTGTGTGCTTGTATTTCCTGCTGTTTTTCATTATTATTTTCCTTCTACTATCTTCCAAGATTTCTAACATCTAGTTTTAGAGGTTCTTTCTGACAGAATTAAGTCAGTCTATCCTGTGCAGGTATCTCTTTCCTCCCTTAGTAAGCTTTTCTCTGTCACTCTCTGTTCCCAACATAAATCTTAGTCATAAAGCCACTAATCTTCTTTTCACTTACAAATATATTGCCAATGTAGGCTCAGAGCATAAAGAACCTTTAGCAGTTGGACATTGGTTTCAGATTTACAGCAGCTCACACAGAAATTCATACAAGGTAAAATCCTCAAGGTAGGCACAATGCAGCTTTCATGCAAGATGAATGCTGGGGTAAATCTAAATACCCTCAGATTTTTTGCTCCATTCACTGATGTTTATAAATATTAGTAAATCCCCTTCTCTAGTCTTTGAGCTAACATTAATCATCAATTGTTAGCTAACATCAGATAGTATATCACTTTTCTTACAGCAATGGCACTTTTGAGAGCTAGCAGGACAGGTTTTGACAGTGAATTCTTTATCTTTCTTCAGGAAGAATGACCTTTGTATTGCTTTGATGAATACATTATGGGCAAGTCAGCTGTAAATAGGTATTTTCCTCTCAAATTAAATTAGAACAGCAATCGCTGAATGCAAGCAGAAGGAACAGAAGAGATCACAGGGTCTGAAACTAGCTCCAGAATGCTAAAATATAGAATTTTTCTGTCTGTAAAAGGAAATGGAAAGTGCTTTTAGAAGGACTCACTGCACTCTAGGTTCTTTTCATACTACACATATAAGATTTTAGGTTACTGGGACATTTTTACTGCTCTTCTGTACTCTGGAGATTATTTGCACAAGTGAATTAAAATATTGAAATCACTTTTTCAAGCTACTCAGAAGGTATGTACTTTTTGAAAAAAAAAAATTCTCTCCTAAGACTGCTGCAGTGGTAAGGAACAGACATGGTAAGACATGGAAATGTTTTTTTCTCTTTGTTAGCATAAAGGTCACTTAAGATATGGGGTTAAATGTGTGTCACATTAGGACATACGTGTCACAATTCTGACTTTCAAAATTATGTTTTCTTTAATCAAAAGATGCACTAGAAATGGGGGGGGGGCTTAAGTGGACAGTGTTGTAGGCTCCCATTTCCTCTACTTTCATGTGATTGTATAGTAGAAAGGCATTTATAGTGCAGAGAGGCTCAGTAATGTCTTCCAGATGAACTTAATGGGCTACATGGGGCATAAAAGGAAATTATAGAAAAACAGATTGAGAACAGATGTCAGAATATTTTTTTTCTCTTGGAGAATAACTCTGCGTGATGGCCTAATGGGTTAGGTTGATAAAGCATAAACCCTGATACCAATCAAGTTCTGAATTAGATGCACCTTTGGAGAGATAGGAATTTCTAAACTGCAAAACTTGGCCTGATTAAATTATGTTTATTTAGTTCAGAGAAATGTTATAAAATTAATAATATCTTGTTATTGCATGGTTTTACAAGGCTGAAATTGGATTTTTAAAGAATAGACACACATTTTCCTGAAGTGTGTAAATAAAATCAAAGTGTTTAAACTAAGATTTTAAAGGTTTACTATTTTTGTTTTTAATTTTGTCTTTGAATAAAATTAATACCTTAACTGATAGTAGAAAAATAACAGGGTATCTGTGGTTAGTGCTGAATTAGAAATGCTATTAGCTTTGTATGTGATCAAAACTTAGATATTCATTCCCTTTTCTTAATACAGGACTAAATTAATTCATTAATGGCTACTGTACATTGTCTTTTAAAAAATGCTTTGTGTAATACTGAACAGCAGGTGATACAGAGTACTATTGCTGTAATACTAATGTGTTTCAGGTTTGGAAATCTGCCAGCCATTCTTAACAGTGAAAATAGCAGTTTTGAATAGAAGCCAATAAACATCTAGAGAACTTGCATATTTTTACTATAATTTAAGGGGTAAAAAATTGCATATTATTGGATTATTTTTTTTTCAGTTACTTGGACTAGGATAGAGATTTCTCTTAATTTGAATGTTGCTGTTTCTAAATTCTGATTGAAGTTTTATAATATTAGGGTAGCATTCCTTATTTGGCATACTACAGAAATGTGATAATGAGTACCCAATATAATAAAGGTACCACTATTAAAGTTTCTTTTATTTTGTTTTCAGTTCTGGTAGTTTTCCTATTTGATGGACCTTTTTACTATGAGTTGTAGTTCAACAGCATAGGAAATATAAAAGTAATGTTCCTGGCAATGGTTTTGCTTTCTTAGATCAGAAATGCAGGAGATATTATAAAAAACTGATGAAGTATTAGACTCCTTTCCTCTGCTGCTTCAAATTCCTTAACAATTTTAAAGGGTTAACTTTATGCCAGATCAGGTATTGTCTTTGCTTGCATAGTCAAGATAATATCAGCATAAAAGCAAAGTGACAATTTATATTCTGTGTTCAATATTCTGGCTAACTCAAGGGAAAAGTCATAATAAACTGTACTTTGTGTAGATTAAATGTTTAGAGCTGGCGGCCAGCAGTGCAGAGATGGTTATCCAAACAATATGTGAGGGTATCTAAGAAACAGTTAGATAAGTGCATGGAACTGATATATTCCTGGATGTACACATGTGCAATGAGAAGCTCGCTCATAATTTTTAACATAAAACAGGCAAATTTTATCCTATAGTGCTATTATTTATACATTTACATGTTTCCAAATGCCTCCAACCTGGGGATATGAAGGACCTTTATAAAATTAGGGCTTGCAATCAATGGCAGTCTTTCAGCTGTCATGTGTAAGACCTTAACAAAAGCTCATTAAAGTCAATGAGAGCTTTCTATTGGCTTTAATGGCTTTGGAGAAAGTTCTTTCTGAATTAACCTGTACTATCCAGTGTAAGGGCAAAAACAAAAGCTATTATCCTCCTTATCTTCCTTGGAAACTTGTGACACAGATAGGTTCACTACCCTGTCATAAGTGTCTCTTTTTGCCTATCCAGGTCCCTATCTCAGCCCTTTTCCTAAAAATACATCTTTAATGTGTTTATTTTCAAAACTAAATCTTGTTGAACCTGAGCCAAATTTTTTTTGTTTGACAGAAGTTTTACATTTATAAGCTTCAAATGAGTAAATTGCTTTTAGTTAGCATTACTGTAGAGGCCAATTTTTATGATTGCCTATTCTGTACTGTACATTCATGGTATAAAATATCTGAAAAACCTTTCTATCTGTTTAACCACATTTTCATTTAAAAGCACAAACCTGTAGACTGTGGCTAGGAAACGATAAACTAGGATGACACTAAACAGAATATGCTGGATTTATTGGGTATTTTGATTTGATTTTCGAAGGCAATCATAATCCCTTGCAGCTATAAGATAGGAATGGTTTGACTGTTAACCCTCAACAGGCAAATTAAATTACTTACAGAAGTAGATTGTGGCCTCTTATGATTTTTTCTAGGCTGATCTAGTCTTTCTCTCTGTAATTACTGTTAGTGAATACAAGCAGTCAAAAGCAGAAAATAAGATAATTACATTAGAGAGTAAGTTGAATGGAAATATGACACTTCTAGTGGAGTGCAGAGGGTACTGCTGGTAAAGGAAATACCTAAATCAAGATGTCTGCAGCTGGTGAGAGTACCTCTGCTTCATTTTCTGAGGTCAATTGAAAGAGGAAGCAGATATTTTTGTGCTGTTTTGAATTACTTACATAACAGCAAAGAAAGAATGCCACATGTCCTAAGAGTGCACATCATCTTGGTGATGATCTTGCCATCTGGAGAAACTTCCATATGTGAGCTGTAAACTGGTGCGGGGATTACATATCTCCCTGAAATGGAGCAGCCTCTAAGACAAGAGGTGGGAAGAGTTTAACAGCTCCCAGCAGTGCACTGAGCATCACTGCATTCAATTGCACAATAAGGCTCATAGCTA